ATCACAGATCATTACAGAAATGCAAATCAAAACCACAAATGAGATACCATCTCATGCCAGTCAGAATGGCAATTATTAAAAAGTCAAGAAACAACAGATGCTGGCGAGGTTGCGGAGAAATAGGAATGCTTTTACACTGGTAGAGCAAAAGTAAATCGGTTAATCCATTGTGGAAGACAGTGTGGTGATTCCTGAAAGATTTAGAACCAGAAATACCATTTGACCCAGCAATCCCAATACCGGATATATACCCAAAGGAATATAAATCATTCTATTATAAAGATATATGCATGTTTACACTCATTGCAGCACTATTCACAGTGGAATAGTGAATAGTGAATAGTCTTCAGCGAAGACATGGAATCAACCCAAATGCCCATCAATGATGGACTGGATAAAGAAAATATGGTACATATATACCATGGAATATTATGCAGCCATAAAAAGGAATGAGATCAAGTCCTTTTCAGGGATATGGATGAGCTGGAAGCCATTATCCTCAGCAAACTCACACAGGAACAGAAAACCAAACAACACATGTTCTCTTTCATAATTGGGAACTGAGCAATGAGAACACATGGACACAGCAAGAGGAACAACACACACTGGGGCCTGTTGGGAGAGGGCAGTGGTTGGGAGGATCATTAGCAAAAACAGCTAATGCATGCCAGGGTTAATGCCTAGGTGAAGAGTTGATAGGTGCAGCAAACCACCATGGCACACGTTTACCTATGTAACAAACCTGCACATCCTGCACATATACCCTGGAACTTAAAATAAAATTAAATTAAAAGACAAGCTTAAAGAGTTAATGAAAAATAATTAGATAAAAGAAGCCTTTGATTTTGAAAAACCAGAAACAATAGTTTTAATTTTGCTTTTAACATATATTCAAATCGTTTGATACTCATCCCTTCCAGAGGTGCAGCTTAATTCCCCCTCTTGAGTGTGGCTTGGACTTAATGAGGCACTTCTGATATGGACTGGCTCTGTGTTCCCACCCAAATCTCATCTTGAATTGTCATTCGAATTGTAATCCCTATCTGTTGGGGGAGGAACCACATGGGAGGTGATTGGATCATGGGGACAGTTCCCCCATACTGTTCTCATGATACTGAGGGAATTCTCATGAGATGTGATGGTTCTATAAGGGACATTTCCCTGCTTCATTCTGCATTTCTCTCTCCTGCCACCATGTGAAGAAGGACATGTTTGCTTCCACTTCTGCCATGGCTCTAAGTTTCCTGGGGCAGGCTCCTCAGCAATGCAGAACTGTGAGTCAGTTAAATCTCTTTCCTTTATAAATCACCCAATCTCAGGTATTTCTTTATAGCAGTGTGAGAATGGACTAATACAACTTCTAACTTATAGAATAATGCTGACATAACAGTTTGCGTCTTTGGGTGTAAAACATAAAACTCACTGCAGCTTTCACCTTCTCTCTCTCTCTGTCTCTGGGATCATGAGCTCTGGGGGAATCCAGCTGCTGTGCCATAAGCAGCCCTGCAGGAAGGTCCATGTGACTGAGAACTGAGGCCTTCTGGGACTAGATAACAAGGAACTAGGCCTTTTCCAACAGCCATGTGACTGATCCATCTTTCTTGTGAATCCTCAACCCCAGTGAAGCCCTCAGATGATGCAGCCCTTGACTGACAACTGGACTGCAATCTTGTGAGAGGTCCTGAGCCAGAAGCACTCAGGGAAACTTCTCCTGGATTCCCAACCATTGGAAACTGTGGGAGATGATGAATATTTGTTGTTTTGAGCTAAATGTTACATAATTTGTTACTCAATCGTAAATAAATAATACATTTTCACAAGAGAGGATGTTTTATTACACGTTAAATTGCATTTACTCCAAATGTATCGTCATCATCATTATTATTTTTGAGACAAGGTCTCACTCTGTAACCCAGGCTGGAGTGCGGTGGCATGATCACCATGCACTGCAGTGTCCAATTCCTGGGCTCAAGGGACCCTCTGATCTCAGCCTCCTGAGTAGCTGGGACTACAGGCATGAACCACCATGCCTGACTAATTTTCTAATTTTTTTGTGGAGATGGGGGTTTTGCCCAGGCTGATCTTGAACTTCTGGAGTCAACAAATTCTGACTTCCTCTGCCTTCCACAGTGCTAGGATTGCAGGCGTGAGCCATCACACCTGGCCTAAATTAATTATAAGATACAAACATGTAATTTAGTTTTAAAAGGTAAGGAGAATTTCCATGACTGAAGAGGACGTATTTTATTACCATTCACAATGATCACTTTACTTGAACTTCAATTTCCAACTGTGTCACAATGAAACACAAAAGGAAGATCCAACCGTTGCTAGACTGATTCTATTATGGCCTCAACAACCAGCTCCTGGCCATTCACCTCCTCCAGTTATTCGAACAACTCTAGTGCAGGTGCTGCTGTGAAGGGATTTAGCAGATATAATTAAGGGCCTCAATTAGTTGACTTTAGGCTGGGTTTATCCTGCTTGGACTGTCCTAATCAGCTGAGCCCATTAAAGGACTAGGTTCTTCCTGAGCGTAGAGATTCACAGTGTGAGAGGGATCCAGCATGAAGGGTTTCCTCCACTGTGGGCTTTGAAAATGAAGGGGCTGCATAAGAAAAAATGCTTGTGGGCACCAGGAATTGAGCACAGCCCTCCCTGTTCTCTACAGTGACAGTCAGTGAAGAACAGGGACCTCAGTCTTACAACTGCTAGAAACTGCGTTCTGCCACCTCTGTATGAGCCTGAACGAGGATTCAAAATGAAAACACAGTTTTGGGAAGCCCAGAACAGAGATTTTATCCACATCATGCCCAGATTTCTGACTGAGGAACTATAAACAGATAAATGAGTGTTGTTTGGCCAGGCATGGTAGCACACTCCTGTAATCCTAACATTTGAGGAGCTGACACAGGAGGATCTGTTGCAGCCAGGAGTTTGAGACTAGCTGAGATAAAATAGTGAGACACTCATCCCTACAATTTCTTTTTAATTAGTTGGGTGTGGTGTCACTTGCCTGCAGTCCTAGCTATTCTGAAGACTGAGGCAGGAAGATCCCTCGAGCCCAGGAGTTTGAGGCTGCAGTGAGCCATGGTCATGTGAGTGTACTGCACCCCGCATGACAGAGGGAGACTCTGTCTCTAAAAATAACTAAATCAACAATAATTGGGTGTTTCAAGTCAATGTTTGTGATAATTTGTTATGCAATCTTATAAAATTCATACACAGGTTCAACAGACTCATGGAATGAATTGAATTGACATGCATACTAGTTACATAAAATAAAATCTTGTCATAAAATAAAAACTTGTCAGTGTTTTACTTTTCATAACTTTCTGTGATGCTATTAATACACTCATATTTCATTCATTCAGTCAATAAAAATTAATTTAGTGCCTAAGATGAACCAGGTATGCCCTCATATGCTCATGTACCTGACATCCTAGAAGCTTCACAAAACAGAGGTGGAGCCACTGGAGTGTTTTATGTGAGTAAGTGACACACTCTGATTCACAGTAGTAGGACCACCGTGGAGAGAACAGTCACGTAGCAGGTAATGGGACAGTGCTAGAACCACAATTTAGGAGTGACAGGGTGGTGGGGACTAAGGGGAGAGGAGGGTCTGAGGGATGAAAGGGACACAGGGAAGGGCTGGAGAAGCAGGAGGTTAGGAAAAGGAGCAGAGGGAAGGAATTGGAAAGCAGTAGGATTCTTACGTTTAAACACACTGTTTTATAGATTTTTAATACATCCATCAACAGAGACTTGCTGAGTGTTCTTTGCAGTTGGCCTTTAATACCTAATTTAGGACTGCCTAAAACTAATGTTTTTTATGTTAATAAAGTTTAAAAAATACTTAATGTTCCTTCTTTGCAGTTGGCCTTTAATACTGTATTTGGGACTGCCTAGAAATGAATTTTTTTTTTTTTAATTAATCAGGTTTTAAAAATACCAAGTGTTCCTATAAGATATACACATCACTTAGATGTGAATACTTCCAAAAAGCAGGCAGTGCATGAGCACTGGTGAGCGGGACTGTGACTGCATTGAACACTTGAACTGTGAGGTGAATAGTCTGTACCGGCTCCTGGTTGTAACATACAGTAACACAGTGTGCTTCTTTGTATTGAGGCGATGTCTTAGACTCACCCAGTAACTCAGGGCTATGGAATGAAGGTAAATGTAAAATACAACAAGCAGGAGTCACAGATACATTCTCTGGGAAAGTGAAACTTAGGAGCTTTGTGAGTCCTGTTGTAACCCTTTTAGACATATTTATATATCAAAGGGCCAAAGTCACATTTTTTACCGATTAGATTCCTGATCATTCAGGGGTTACCAAGATTCTGCTACTCACTGTAGTTAATAAACAGAGCAAACTGGTCTCTATTCTATCTCATGCACTCAGGCACAACTTTTCCGGGTTTAAAGAAAAAAAAAAAACCTATCTCTACACCTCTATTCCCAGGAGGAGCTCACTCTCTGGCGCCAAGCTCCCTGGGGTGAGTTTTCTTCTAGAAGAGTCCAGGGGAACAGGTAAGGAGTGGGAGGCAGGAAGCCCAGTTCTGGGATGGGGATTCCGGGATGAAAAGTGAAGAGAGATGGAGCCCATGACGAGGGGTTCTCCCTGGTTTCTCAGACAGTTCTTGGGCCAAGACTGAGGGAGACATTGAGACAGAGGCTTGGCACAGGAGGAGCGCGGTCAGGGCGAAGTCCCATAGCCCCCGGCGTGGCTCTCAGAGTCTCAGGCCCCAAAGGCTGAGTATTGATTGGGGAGGCCCAGCGTTAGGGATTCCCCATCTCCGCAGCGTTTCTCTTCTCCCTCTCCCAACCTATGTAGGGTCCTTCTTCCTGGATTCCCTGTTCTGAATTCCCCGCGAACCCATTGGGACTGATTCTCCCCAGACCCCAAGGAGGGGGTCATGGCGTCCCGAACCCTCCTCCTATTGCTCTCGGGTACCCCGGCCCTGACCGAGACCTGGGAGGGTGAGTGCGGGATCCAGAGGGAAATGGCCTCTGCCAAGAGGAGCGAGGGGCCCGCGCAGCTGGGGCGCAGGACCCGGGGAGCCGCGCCAGGAGGAGGATCGAGAGGGTCTCAGCCCCTCCGCGCCCCCAGGTTCCCACTCCATGAGGTATTTCAGCACCGCCTTGTCCCGGCCCGGCCGCGGGGGCCCCGCTTCATTGCAGTGGGCTACGTGGACGACACGCAGTTCGTGCGGTTCGACAGCGACGCGGCGAGTCCGAGGATGGAGCCGCCGGCGCCGTGGGTGGAGCAGGAGCGGCCGGAGTATTGGGACCGGAGCACACGGAACGCCAAGGTCCACGCACAGACTGACAGAGTGAACCGGCAGACCCTGCTCCGCTACTACAACCAGAGCGAGGCCCATGAGTGACCCCGGCCCGGAGCACAGGTCACGACCCTTCTCCATGCGCACGGACCGCCCGGATCCCCCCGAGTCTCCGGCCCCGAGATCCACCCCGAGGCTGTGGGACCAGCCCAGATCCTCGACCGGGTAGAGCCCCAGGCGCCTTTACCGGGTTTCATTTTCAGTTTAGGCCAAAATCCCCGCGGGTCGGTCGGGGCGGGGGCGGGGCTTGGTGGGCGGGGCTGACCGTGGAGGCGGGGCCAGGGTCTAACACACTCCAGATAAAGTATGGGTGAGACTTGGGGCTGGAAGGGCGCTTCCTCCGCGGTTATGAACAGCACGCCAAAGATGGCAAGGATTACATCGCACTTAACCGGGGCTTGTGCTCCTGGACCGCAGCTGACACGCGCAAGTGGGAGGCAGAGGAATTTGCAAAGCAGGTCAGGGCCTACCTGGAGGGCATGTGCGTCGGGTGGCTCCGCAGACACCAGGAGAACGGGAAGGAGACGCTGCAGCGCGCGGGTATCACGGGGCACGGGACGCCTCCCTGATCGCCTGTAGATCTCCCGGGCTGGGCTCCCACAAGAAGAGAAGGAAAATGAGACCAACACTAGAATGTCTAACTCCCTCTGGTCCTGAGGGAGAGGAATCCTCCTGGGTTTCTTTCCAGATCCTGTACCAGAGAATGACTTTGAGGGTCTACTCTGCTCTCTGATACAATTAAGGGATGACATCTCTGAGGGAATGAAGGGAAGACAATCCCTGGAATACTGATGAGTGGTTCCCTTTGACACCGGCAGCAGCCTTGGGCCCCGTAACTTTTCCTCTCAGGCCTTGTTCTCTGCTTCACATTCAATATGTGTAGGGGGCTGAGTCCAGCTCCTCTGAGTCCCTCAGCCTCCCCTCAGGTCAGGACCAGAAGTCACTGTTCCCTCTTCAGGGACTAGAATTTTCCACGGAATAGGAGATTCTCCCAGGTGCCTGTGTCCAAGCTGGTATCTGGGTCGTGTGCTCCCTTCCCCACCCCAGGTGTCCTGTCCATTCTCAGGAGGGCCACATGCGTGCTGCTGGAGTGTCCCATAAGAGATGCAAAGTGCCTGAATTTTCTGACTCTTCACGTCAGACTCACCCCCAAGACACATGTGACCCACGATTCCATCTCTGACTATAAGGCCACCCTGAGGTGCTGGGCCCTGGGCTTCTACCCTGTGGAGATCACACTGACCTGGCAGTGGGATGGGGAGGGCCAGACTCAGGACATGGAGCTTGTAGAGACCAGGCCCGCAGGGAATGGAACCTTCCAGAAGTGGGCAGCTGTGGTGTGCCTTCTGGAGAGGAACAGAGATATACGTGCCATGTACAGCATGAAGCATTGCCCGAGCCCCTCACCCTGAGATGTAGTAAGGCAGGAGATGAGCCTGGAAGGGGAGAGGGGGGCGGTCATGTCTCTTAGGGAAAGCAGGAGCCTCTCTGGAGACCTTCAGCAGCAGCAGGGTCGGGGCTGGGGGCTGGGCATCAGGGATCCTCACCTTCTCCTTTTTTCCCAAAGCCGTCTTCCCAGTCCACCATCCCCATCGTGGGCATCGTTGCTGGCCTGGTTCTCCTTGGAGCTGTAGTCACTGGAGCTGGGGTCGCTGCTGTGATGTGGAGGAAGAAGAGCTCAAGTGGGGAAGGGGTGAGGAGTGGGGTCTGAGTTTTCTTGTCTCACTGGGGGTTCCTAGCCCCAGGTAGAAGTGTGCCCTGCCTGGTTACTGGGAAGCACACTCATGGGCCAACCCAGCCTGGGCCTTTGTGCCAGCACTTACTGTTTTGTAAAGCACCTGTGACAAGGAAGGACAGATTTATCACCTCGATGATTGTGATGATGGGGACCTGATCCCAGCAGTCACAAGTCGCAGGGGAAGGTCCCTGCTGAGGACAGACCTCAGGAGGGCAGTTGGTCCAGGACCCACACCTGCTTTCCTCATGTTTCCTGATCCTGTCCTGGATCTGCAGTTACACTTTTCTGGAAAATTCTCTGGGATCAAAGACTAGGGGGTATGCTATAGGGCCTTATGGCCCTGACTCCCTTTTGGCCTCTCACAGGACATTTTCTTCCCACAGATAGAAACAGAGTGATCTACTCTCAAGCTGCAAGTAAGTATGAAGTGGGCTGATCCCTGAGATCCTTGGGATATTGTGGTCGGGATCCAGTGGGAGAGCTTACCCAACCCCAAACTTCTCCTCTAGCCAAATCTCCTCTGGGCTCTGACCAGGTCCTGTTTTTGTTCTACCACAGGCAGCAACTGTGCCCAGCATTCTGATGTGTCTCTCACGGCTTGTAAAAATGAGACCCTGGGGGGCCTGATGTATGTGGGGTGTTCAGGGGAACAGTGGATGCAGCTGTGCTATGGGGTTTCTTCGAGTTGGATGTATTGAGCATGCGATGGGCTGTTTAAAGTGCTACCCCTCACTATGACAGATAGGAATTTCTCCATTAATATGTTTTTCTATAGTGTGAGACAACTGCCTTGTGTGGGACTGAGAGGCAAGATTTGTTCACACCTTCCCTTTGTGACTTCAAGAATCCTGACTTTCTTTCTGCAAATGCACCTGAATGTGTCTGTATTCCTGTAGGCATAATGTGAGGAGGTGGGGAGCCCAACCCACCCCCGTGTCCACTATGACCCTCTTCCCACGCTGACCTGTGCTCCCTCCCCAATCATCTTTCCTCCTCCAGAGAGGTGGGGCTGAGATGTCTCCATCTGTCTCAACTTTATATGCACTGAGCTGTAACTTCTTACTTCCCTATTAAAATTAGAATCTGAATATAAATTTATATTTTCAAATTCTTGCCGTGAGAGGTTGATGAGTTAATTAAAGGAGAAGATTCCTAAAATTTGAGAGATAAAATTAATGGGAGACATGAGAACCTTCCAGAGTCCATGTGTTTCCTGTGCTGATTTGTTGCAGGGGAGGAGAGTAGACAGGGCTGTACACAGTGGGTGCTCAGGCCACCGTGCGCTTTATGTGGTCACTGCTCAGCTGAGTCATCTTTGCTGCTCCATTGTCCTTGGCCCTTCAGTAGAACCTTGTCCCACCATGACCTGTGATCACAGGGACTTGGATGTCACCTAGGGTGGTCCCCGCATACAAGGGTCCTTGTGGTATCAAAAGACAAATTTTCAGAACTTTCAAGCTCTTGCCCTCCTCCCAGGGCTCCTTCCTGGATTGTATTTTCCGTCTTTTCTCCAATCTTTTTAAAGGAACCAGATTCTGAAATTTACAGAGAGGAGGGGTCTCATAGTTTCTCATCATAGGTAACTTTCTGTTGGAACTCCTCTTCTGCACTTCCACTCTTCTTCCTGCCCTGAGTTGTAGTAATCCTAGTGCTGGCTCCAATAGAAATCCATAGATTTATAAAGCAGAGTCTAATTTAGATTCACATGTGGTTGGACAATTGGATCCCTAAGTCTAGGGTTATCTTTCCTAAAGAGAAAAATATGTTTGTGTGCTACAGTCTGCAGGAGGGTTGGTGTGGGAAGAGGGAGGGAGGGAGGACACACCAGCAGCCCTGGTGAGAAAAGCTCTGCTGGCACTGATGTCAGTGTGAGATGATGTTGTTCTGTAGTTGCCATGAAAAAAAAAGTATTTGTCTGAGGCTACATTAACAAAGATATTGCCTCTAGAATAGAGGGGTTCTCTACAGTGATCATTCCTTCAGCTGACGTTTGTTGTCTCCTAGGGATATGACTGTTTTTGCGTTTAGAAAGCATTATTAAAGTAAAAATAGAAAAATTTCTAGCCTTGTGGTGCACACGTTCTAGATACAAGCTTGTCCAACCTGCGGCTCGCGGGGTGCATGTGGCCCAGGACAGTTTTGAATGTGAGGACTTTTTTGCTTATCTGTGGTGAACGTGAGACCTGAAGTGAGTGCACCCACCTCCCTCAGGGTCAGGAGTGAATGCTTTAGGAACCCTCCTTTGCAGTGACCTGCAAAAGATAGAGAGCACATTTGCTGTGATAACCCAGAGTATCAGCCAAAGGGGCTTGACCTTCAAGGAGTTGTGGGGAAGATTAATAAAGGGTGGTGTCCCAGGGTCAGAATAGATGGGCAGCCAGCAAGGGCGCTGCTTCATATATCTATGATAAGCATGCAAGAATTGAGGAGCAAGTTTCAGTTTCAGAATCCAGTGACTGAGGAGGTATCCATATCCCTAAAAGAAAGAACCTTGCGACACCATGACAGTTACATGCTGGGACAATTCCATCAGCCCTTCTGCAAAGGAGCCTATAGCCATTTAATCAGGAGATGGTATAAGTATTAACATTGGATGTGAACTGACATTGCTGCCCAGATTCCCACAGCACCATTATGTCGCCATCACAGTGGGGCTTACAGAGGCCGAGGAAAAAACCTGGACACATTATGACCCACAGTGGAATCACTGGGTCCATAAACCCTGTCCTGGTTATCTCCCCATTCTCCAAGTGCATAATTGGCCTTGATGCACTCAACAGGAGTCACCCCACACTGTGTCCCTAGTCTGGAGAGTAAGCGCTCTCATTGTGATAAGGCCCAAAGGGAAACATCCCTCATCCAAGCCAAACCAGAAGCAATAATTTGCCCCAGGGTGGGTCTTGTGGAGGGTACTGCAGGTATCGTAGGGGTAGCACCGCCATTAGAGAGCTGAAGGATGCGGGGTGGTGTTGGGATTGCCTGTAATCTCCATATAACTCAGCAATCTATCCCTGAAGAAGCCTGATACGGCTAAAGAATGAATGGAATTACTCCAGACTCGACCAAGTAGGAGTCCTGATTGCAGCTGCTATACTGGCTGGATATCACTGCTTGGGGAGATTAATAATGCCTCAGTCACATGGCAAGCAGCTGTGGATTTGGTGAGTGCATTCCCTCCCATTTCATTTAGAAGATGGAAATGGAATGATTCACACTTACATGGGATTTATAATACATTTATTGATAGCTTGCCTCAGGGCTACCTTAACTCCTCAACCTTCTATAAATATCGCCTTGAGAGACCTGGACAAATCAAATATCTCACAGAATACTACATCTGCTCATTTCATTGGCAATATCACATAAATTGGGATGGATGAGCAAGAGGAGGAAAGAAAGCTGAATTCCTTGGCAAAACACGTGCACTACAGAAGACGAAGATGAACCTCACAGACCTTCAAGAGTGGCCACTGCAGTGAAGTGTTATGGGTCCAGTGGTTACAGGCATGCAGGGCTCTCCCCTCCAAGGTAAAAGACACACTTGCATCTTGCATCCTCACCAGAAGGAAGGATGCACACTGCCTGGTCAGCCTCTCTGGGTTCTGTTAACACCACATTCCACATCTAAGTATATTTCTTTGGCCCACACTCTGGGTAATACAGGAGGAGGCCAGCTTTGAGTGGGGCCTGGACAGGAAAGGACACTGCCGCAGACCCAGGCTGTGGTACAGCCAGTCACCATCCCTCAGACCCCTGGTGCTGGAGGTGGCAGTTTGGGGAAAGATGCAGGATGGAGCTGAACCAAGCATTAGTGGGAGTCAGAATGGAGGGCCTGGGATCTGGAGTAAAGCCATGGAATCCACAGCAGAGAAACATGCTCCCTGTTAGAAGCAACTTTTAGCATGTTCCTGGCCCTGATAAGATAGAATGCTTGATCATGGGACACCAAGCAACCTGTGATTCCAAGTGCCTGTGTGTATTGGCTTCTATGTGACCCATAGAGTCATAGATTGGACAGACCCAGCGGGATCTCTCATGAGATGAAAATGGTCCATGTGGGTTGAGCCTCAATTCCATGTTAACACCCACAGAAAACACCCAGCCCTGACATGGCCCTGAATCACCAAACAAATTGAAGATAAACTGAAGTTAGCCAGTCCACATCATGGATCAGCCCAGGCCTGATAGGAAGGACCCATGAGTGGAGCAGCCACAGTGGTAGGGATGAAGCTACAAATGAGTCCAGCAGCACTGACTGCCCCCTACTAATACCAATCCAGCTATTGCTTCCACTGAATACTCTGCTTGTGAGCATTACAGACCAATGGGCACCGATAGGGCACTATTTCTTCAGGTAACCGACTAGCCCCTAAGTGACAAGTTGAATAGCTTGAACCCCATCCATCCTGGAAGGGGCAGAAGTTCATCCTCACAGGGATAGGCACCTATTCGATGTGGTATGGTTTTCCTCTCTGCTCTCAGACCCTCAGCCAGCGTCCCTATTGGAATTCCTGATCCACTGGCTCAGAATTTCAGTACATTATCTGCCTGGGGGACATACCTCATGGGGAAGGGGATGAAGCATGGGCCATGACCATGGGATCCCCTGGTCATATCACCACCTGTGCCTCTCAGATCCTGCCAGGCACACAGGAGTCATGGACAGGACCCTACAGGCACAACTCACTACCAGCTTGGATGAAGCCCTCTGAGGAATGGGTGTCATTTCTCAGGATGTGATACATGCATTCAATCAAAGACATCTCTATGGTGCTGTTTTCAGACGGCAGAACACGTGGGTCCAAAACCGAGAAGTCGAAGCAAGTGTGTCTCATTCCTTATATTCACCCCCAGAGTGATTGATTTAGTTATAAGTAAATAAATACATAAATAACATAAATGAAAGAATTTATTTATTTATTTTATTCATTATATTCACCTCCAAGGTGATTTTGCTCTTCTTACCTCCAAAATCTGGACTCCACAGGGCAGGAGGTCCTGATTTCTCAAAGGGGGCACCCTGGCAAGGAGACAAATGAGAGTCCATGGAACTACACATTGTGGTTGCACCCAGGGATATTTGAATAGCATGTGCCCAGAGACAAGCAGGTGAGAAGAGGAGGAGGCAGGGCTGCTATCACACAATGAGAGCAGGAGAAGTATGCATAGAAACCAGGACTCCACTTGGGGATCTCCTGGTTTCCCTTGCCTGTTGTAAGTGTGAGCAGAATCATCCAGCAACCCAGCCTGAGAGGGTTTGATATTCAAGAGCCCAGAACCCTCTGTAAGGAAGGATTGAGTCATACTCCTAGGTAATGTCCCAAGGCTCTGCTCCTGTGCTCTGACATCCTCAGCAGGATTAGTGCCGAAGCCCTGCTTCCCATGAGTGGTTCCCAGCCAGTGACCGGTCACAGCAGGCACACTAAGGCAGGCCATTACCGGGAGACACGGGACTCCTCTGATGGCCAAATGTGGCTCCAGGACTCCTCCATGCCCTTGCTCAACTCTCCTTAGATTGCCTGTGCTCTTGGGCGCGTCGAATAAACTTTCTCTCCTTCTGTCCAGCACTTGGGGTCACACTTGCATCATTGTCTGCCGCCTTTTCCAGGGATTTCTGGTTCGCTTCCCATATTCCCTTACAGGTGTGTCCCCTCATAAAACGCTGCAGACTTTAAGCTCCTCTTGGTATCTGCTCCTTGGAGAACTTGGATCAAAAAGCATTTCCATCTGCACACCAATAACTCTTATTTATTACAACCTGTAAAATCTGTCTCTTTATCCAACTTCTGCCACCCCCATAAAATCTAGTTTGCTTGTGTTTGTAGTGTCTCTTTGAATTAACAGGTATTTGTTGTATTAAGACACTAAATTTTGAGGTAGTTTGTGACACAGCAGTTAATAACTATTAAGGCTTTCTTACGTTTCTATTATTCCATGGATGTTATCTACATCTTTTAATTCCCTGCATTTTAATAATGTTAAACATACTTGCTGTTTCTAATCCTTTCCTCCTACTCCTTTTTGAAATTTTCATTTTGTCTTTCTCTGTCCTTCTTTCCTCCTTTCCTCCCTCAGAGCTTTCTCTCTCCTTCCATTTTTCAGAAACTCTATGTGGTTAGGCTAAAAGGAAGCATTGTTTGAACCTTATGCTTAAAGTATAAAACCATAATTTACAGGGTAAAGGTAAAGAAAAGGAAGTTATTAATGGAATATAAAAAATATGCCTAGGGTGATTCTGCAGCCAACACAGTGATTTTTAACATTTAATCTCCACCTTCAACTGAATGTTTTCAGAACACATGAGCAACATGAACTCTTTCCCATTCTTGGTACAAGCACTTGGGAAATCAAATTAGCCTTACCTAGTATGATTAACGTCCATACACCGTATAATCCCACCGTCTGCCTCCTGATCATACACTCTGGGGACATTCTTAGCTATGTGTCCAGGAGACGTGTACACCAATGTTTATGGCAAAAAACTGGAAATAATCACATATACATCAATGGGAATTAACAAAATTGTGGTATATTCATAAAAAGTAAAACTTTAGCAGTAAAAATGAATGAGCAGCACCCTCCCACATCAGAGATAACTCTCCTACACATAACGCGCATCGCAGAAGAATACACATAGTGTGAGTTCTCTGTACCGGGAAGTTCAAAAAACACAAACTGTGATTTGGGTATATATGTACTTATTGCAAAAATCTTTAGAGACAGTGAAAAGGAATAGTAAATACAAGACTCAAGATAGAGGTTGCTTTTGGGGGATATGATTGGGCAACAGTCTAGGGTGGCTTCATAGGTTCTGATTTTTATGCCAGGAGAGGATGTCCAGGTAGTTACTTGATCATAAATCTTTATTTATTTATTTATTTATTTGTTCATTTATTTTTGAGATGGAGTCTCACTCCTGTCGCCCAGGCTGGAGTGCAGTGGTGTGATCTCAGCTCACTGCAACCTCTGCCTCCCGTGCTCAAGTGATTCTCCTACCTCAGCCTTTGCAGTAGCTAGGATTACAGGCACCTGCCATGGCACCTGGCTAATTTTTATATTTTTAGTAGAGACTGTGCTTCACCATGTTGGCCAAGCTTGTCTCCAACTCCTGATCTCTTGGGGTCTACCCACTTCGGCCTCCCAAAGTGCTGGCATTAGAGGCATGAGCCACTGCCCCTGGCCCACAAATCTTTAAAGTGGCATTTTTCAAAATGCACTTTGTGTGCCATTCCTGATTATTTAGAAATGAAAGAGAAAAGAAAACACAAAAGTTCATTGCAAGAATCCTTAGCGATAACTACACGCGTTAAAACAAAGCCACAGCCAATTGTAAGGAGCCATGTGACAGAGAGGACCACGATGCCATGAAAAATAGCCTTGGCTAGAAATAGGTCATTTGATTCTTGGCTAATTGGCAACTCTCTACACTTTCTGGTATACGATGTTCAATCTGATGTGCAAGGCAGTTGTATCTTGCAAAGAATTTGGGAATTTGATATGTTGCTCACATTTTACCACACACACAAGTAAATTAATCTTTCACAGAATAGAGAAAAGGCATTGTTGAGCAAAATAAATTAAATGAAAAGACATAAAGAAATAACTAGTGATGAAATAGCAATAAGAATGGAAAACATGAAAGAGCTGCTTTTAAAGCAACATTAGAAGCACAAAATAACTGTATTTTTCAGAATCATACTGGAGTCCAAATCACTTCTACCACATCTAATTAAAAAACACAGCGAAAGATGTTAAAGTGATCAATGGATGCCCACTGAATACCTAGTTACTGAAAAATCTTGTTTCTAGGTTGGAGTTAACCATTTCCGCCTACCGCATCAAACCGAATCGTTGTCGTGATGCTAAGCTAGCTGCACAGAGAGAGATGTGAGACACATTTTCTTAACTGCAAAGCACCCTGATTAGGCACATATTTTTGTAGAAGCTTGAGTAAGACAATTGGCATTTTGGGCATTCTTAAACGGAATTACAAACTTCTGAGGAAAAACAAAGATAGTTATGATTGTAAAGGCATTATTGTATGGCACCAGTCTTGGGACTCTTTGATCTAGCTGCTGTATTTTCTCAACTTTCTTGCAACTCGTCAAAGAGAACATTAATATTAAAGGAATTTGCAAAAAAAAAATCTGAGATATTGTTGTATCTCCTTTCTCTGTCTCAAATTTTTATTCATTACTTTACAAAAGATAATTTTAAAGTATAAAGAAAATTAGTCAGATACAAGAAGCATTTGATTTACAAAATCCTGAAACAATAATGTTAATTGTGGTGCCAGCTACTTGGGAGGCTGAAGGAGGAGCATTGATCGCATGAGCCCAGGAGGTTGAGGCTTCAGTGAGTCATGAGCATGCCACTGCATTGCAGCCAGGGCAGCAGAGCGATACTTTGTCCAAAAATAACTAACTAACTAAATAAATAAATAAATAAATAAATAAATAAATAACTAAATAAATAAATAAATAATAAAGGCAGTGCATGAGCACTGGTGAAGGGCACTTTGGCTGCATTGAGTGCTTGCAAATTTGAGGTGATTACATTCTGTACATTGCTTAACATGCATACTGTACATACTTAACATGCACATAAATTCTTTGATACTCCTCCTTGCAGAGGTGCAGCTTCATTCCCTTCCTATGAGTGTGGCCTGAACTTAATGACTCACTTACAAACTGATAGAGTAATGCTGACATAATAGTTTGTGACTCTGGGTATAGATCATAAGACTCACTAAGTCTGGGAGTGGTCGCTCACACCTGTAATCTCAACACTTTGGGAGGTCAAGAGGGCAGATCATGAGGTCAGAAGTTCGAGACCAGCCTGGCCAACATGGTGAAACCCCATCTCTACTAAAAATACAAAAATTAGCTGGGTGTGTTGGTGCATGCCTGTAATCCCAGTTGCTCAGGACGCTGAGGGAGGAGAATTGCTTGAACCTGGAAGTCGGAGGTTGCAGTGAACCAAGATCCAACCACTGCATACCAGCCTGGGCGACAGGGTGAGACTCTGTCTCAAAAACAAAACAAAACAAACAAACAAAAAAAACCTCACTGCAGCTTCTACTTCGGTTCTGGTTCTTTCTTTCTCTGGGATCATAAGCCTTGGGGGAAACCGGCTGCTGTGTCACAAGCAGGCCTGTGGAAAGGTCCAGGTGACAAGGAAGTGAAGCTGGGGCCAGACAATAAGAAGATGAAGCCTCTTCCAACAGCCACGTGGGGGATTCTTGTGTCTTGTGAATCCCCAGCCCCATTTGAGTCCTCAGATGATAAAGCCCGGATGACAACTAGACTGCAACGTTGTGAGAGGCCCTGAGTCCGAAGCTCACAGAGAAACCGCTCCTGGATTCCTGACCATTGGAAACTGTGGGAGGTGATAAATATTTGTTGATTTGAGTTGCTAAGTTTTAAGTGATTTGTTATGCAGCAGTAGATAACTAATATACCTTCCCAAGAGAGGATGAATCATTGAACTTTTTCATTTGCTCTAAATTGATTATAAGATATTAAACATGTCATTTGCTTTTAATATTTAAAAAGAATTTTCATGACTATATAAGATCTATTTTATTATCATTAACAATGATTTTTTTTTTTTAACCTTCAATTTGTATGTTCTATTCAAACACAAAAGGAAGATCCAGGCTATACTAGGCTGATTCTATGATGACACCTCAGTAACTACCCTTGGTTACTCACGTTACCCCAGTTACTCAGTTGACACTAATGCAGGTGCTGCTGTGAAGGAGTTTTGCAGATAGATTTCAGGTCCCCAGTCAGTTGACTTGAAGATGGGGATTATCCTGCTTGGACTGTCCTAATCAGGTAAGCTCTGAAAAGGACTGGGTTCTTCCTGAGAACAGAGACTCACAGTGTAGAGGGGTTCAGTGTGAGGGGTTTCCTTCACTGTGGGCTTTGAAAATGGAGGGATTATGGGGAAAGAACACTGGTGGCCAATAGGAATTAGAGGCCCTTCCCACTGTCTACTCTGATAGCGTGAAGGGACCTTAGTCCTACAATTACCAGAAACCGAATTCTGCCAACAAGCTCTATATAAGATTGGGAGAGAATCACAATCTTAAGTGAGCATACAGCTTTACAAAACCCTAAACAAAGAATCTGTCACACTAGGCCTGGATTTCTGATGAAGGAAATGTAGACAAATAAATGGGTGCTGTTTTAAGCCACTAAATTTGTGGTAATTGGTTATGTACTAACAGAAAATTAATAAACAGATTCAATAGCTAAACATATGACATGTTCTCCACTGGAAAGAATTTATGAACTGATATGCACAGTAGCTGCATAAAACCAAACGTTTCCTAACTTGCTTTGCATTTTTCATTTTGTGATTTTTGTGATGCAATTTTCAACACAATTGTATTTCATTCATTCATTCAAGACAATTAACTTAGTGCCTACTATGTGCCTATGCTTTTATATGCTGCAGACACAACTTTGATCAAAACAACCCAAAGCCCCTGTGCTTGTGCCTTCCATTCTAGAGGCTTCTTGAGAGTGAGATGGAGCCATTGGAGGGTTTTAAGTGAAGAAATGACACAATCTGACTCACATTAGCAGAATTGCTGACCACTGTGGGGGAAACAGTCATGAGCAGCAAGCGAGGGGGCAGAGCTAGGGCTACAATTCAGTAGTGACAGGGTAATAGAGACTAAGGGGAGAGGAGGGCCTGAGGGATAACAGGGACAGAGAGAAGGGCTGGAGAAGCAGGAGGTGAAGTAAAGGAACAGAGTGAAAGAATTCTAAAGCAATAGAATTCTCAGACTTAAACATAGTGTTTTATGGGTTTTTAATCCATTTATCTGCAGAGCCTGGCACAGTGTTACTTGCACCTTGGTCTTTAATACATTCTGTGGGACTGTCTAAAAACTAATTGCCTCCTTATGATAAACAGGTTAGAAAAGAATACCAAATGTCCCAATAAAATATGCACATAGCTTAGATGTGAATAATTCATAAATATAGGCAGGTGCATGGGATGGCCACTGTGGCTCATGCCTGTAATACCAGCATTTTGGGAGGCTGAGGTGGGAGGATCACTTGAGCTCAGGACTTCAAGACTAGCCAGAGCAACATAGAGAGACCTGATTTCCACAAATATTTTTTTAGAAATATTAGCCAGGGTTGGTGGCACAAGCCTGTGGTGGCAGCTACTTGGTAGGCTGAAATAGGAGCATTGATTGTGTGAGCCCAGGAGGTTGAGGCTTCAGTGAGTCATGAGCGTGGCACTGCACTTCAGCCAGGGCAACAGAGTGATACTCGGTCTAAAAATAACTAACTAACTAAATAAATAAATAATAAATAAATAAAGGCGTTGCATGAGCACTGGTGAAGGGCGCTTTGGCTGCATTGAGCACTTGCAATTTTGAGGTGATCAAATTCTGTCCAGGCTCCTGGTTGCAACATACGGTAACATATCGTGCTTTGTGTTGACATGTCCTGGACTCGCACACACAAACTCAGGGCTATGAAATAAAGATAATATAAAAATACAACAGACCAGAGTCACAGATACACAATCTGGGAAAGTAAAACTTAACTTTGTGAGTCTAATTGCAATGTGTTTAGACACATTTATATATGATGGGGCCAAAGATCACCTCTTTTACAAATTAGATTCATGATCATTCAGTAGTTATCAAGATTGTACTACCCGCTGTAGCACAATCGGAGACGCACCCGAGGCTGCTGCGAGACCAGTGGAGATCCTCGACCCCACAAGAGCCCCAGGCGCCTATACCGGATTCCATTTTCAGTTCAGGCCCAAATCCCCGGGGATTGGTGGAGGCGGAGGCGGGGCTCAGTGGCCTGGGCTGACCGCGGTCACTGGGAATGGGTCTCACACCCTCCATTGTATACACAGCTGCGACCTGGACCCGGACTGGAGCCTCCTCCGCGGGGATGAACACACCCTACGACTACGCCAGTTACCTCCTCATAAACCAGCAACTGCGCTCTTGGACAGCACCGGACAAGGCGGCTCAGATGCTCTGGCGGAGAAACACGCAGAGCTGCTCAAAACCTACCTGCAGGGAAGGTGGGCGGAGCGGCTCAGCAAAGGCCTTAAGAATAGGAAGGAGACGCTGCAGTGCGCGGGTACCAGCGGCCAAGGGGCGCCTCCCTGATCTCCTGCAGATCTGCCCGAACCACCTTCTAAAAGAAGGGGAGGAAAATGGGACCAACGCTAAAACATCCCCCTCTCTCTTGTCCTGAGGAGGAAGAGTCCTCCTGGGTTTCCAGATCCTACACCAGAGAGTGACTGAGGGCCTGCCCTGCACTCTGGGACAATAAAGGATGAAGTTTCTGAGGGAAAGGAGGGGAAGACAATACCTGGAATACTGATCAGCTGTCCCCTTTGTCCCCGCAGCAGCCTTGGGCACCAGGAATTTTTCTCTCAGGCCTTGTTCTCTGCCTCACACTCAATCTGTATTTGTGGGTCTGACTCCAGCTCTTTTAAGTCCCTCAGCCTCCGCTCAGGTCAGCACCAGAAATCTTTGTTCCGGCCTCAGACACTAGAACTTTCCAAGGAATAGGAGATTTCCCCAGGTGCCTGTCCAGACTGGTGTCTGAGTTGCTCCCTTCCCCACTTCAGGTGTCCCATCAATTCTCAGGATGGTCCCATGAAGTGGAATGTCCCATAAGGAATGCAAAGTGCCTGAATGTTCTGACTCTTCCCCTCAGAACCCCAAAAGACACACATGACCCACCACCCCATCTCCAACCATGAGGCCACCCTGAGGTGCTGGGTCCTGGGCTTCTGCCCTGTGGAGATCACACTGACCCAGTAGCGGGATGGGGAGGACCAAATGTAGGATGCAGTTTATGGAGACCAAACCTGCAGGGTACAGAACCTTCCAGAATTGGGCCGCTGTGGTGGTGTCTTCTGGAGAGGAGCAGAGATACACATGCCATGTGCAGCACAAGGGGCTGCCAGAGCCCCTCACCCTGAGGTGGGTAAGGAGGGGGATGCGGGGTCACGTCTCTTCTCACGGGAAGCAGGAGTCCTTCTGGAGCCCTTCAGCAAGGTCAGGGTTGGAGGCCTGATGGTCAGAGCCCCTCATGTTCCCCTCCTTTCTTAGAGCTGTCTTCCCAGCCCACCATCCCCATCTTGGGCATTGTTACTGTCCTGGTTGTTCTTGGTGCTGTGGTCACTGGAGCTGTGGTCACTGCTGTGATGTGGAGGAATAAGAGCCCAGCCCAGGTAGGAAAGGGGTGAGCTCCGAGTTTTCTTCTTCCATTGGTGGATTCCCAGCCCCAGAAAGGAGTTGGCTTGTATTCTGCCTAGTCGTGAGGCACCATCTCTGTGCCTCTATCAACACTTACTCTTTTGTAAAGAACTTGTGAAAATGAAGGACACATTTATCACCTTCATTGGAGTCATGGGAACCTGACTCCCAGCAGTCACAGGTCAGGGGAAGGTACCCGCATAGGACAGACCTCACTAGGACAATTAGTCCAGTTTCAACACATCCTCTTACCTAGGGTTTCCTAATCCTGACCTGGGTCTGCAGTCACAGTTCTGGAAACTTCTCTGGGATCTCACGGCCCTGCCTCCTCCCTGGCCTCTCACAGTTTGTTTTCTTTCCACAGATGGAAAAGGAGCAGCCGTGCTCAGGCTTCATGTAAGTGTGGTAGGGGTAGGAACAGTAATACCTGAGATCCTTGGGATAGTGTGGACAAGAGCCCATAGGGGAGCTCACCCACCCCACAATTCCTCCTTTAGTCACATCACCTGTGCGCTCTGAATAGATTTTGTTTTTGTTCCACCCCAAACAGGGACAGTACCCAGGGCTCTGATGTGTCTCTCAAGGCTTGTAAAAGTCACATATTAGAGGACCTGAAGTGAAAGAGGAGTTGGGGCAGAGGGGATACAGTTAGAATTTGGAGTCTTTGATTTGCTATTCTTGAGGGTGTGGTGGGCTGTTCAGTGTCACTAAATTTGTTCATGACTATTTTTTTTCTAAGACTGCCTTGTGAGGGACTGAGATGCAAGATTTGTTCATGCCTCCCCTTTGTGACTTTAAGAGCCTCTGGCTTCTCTTTCTGCCAAGGCATCTGAATGTGTCTACATCCCTGGTATCATGTGAGAAGAGGGGAGACCAGCCTATCCTCATGTCCACCATGACCCCTGATATTGTTTGGATCTGTGTCCCCACCCATGTCTCATGTTCACTTGTAATCTCTAAGGTTGGAGGTGGCACCTTAGGGAGGTGATTGGCTCATGAGGATGGATCCTTCATGAATGGTTTAGAACCATCTCTTTGGTGCTGTTCTTGTGCTAGTTCTCACAAGATCTGGTGTTTAAAAGTGTGTGCCACCTCCCTGCTTTCTTTCCCTCCTACTCCAGGCTTGTAAGTCATGCCTGCTTCCCCTTAACATTCCAGCATGACTGAAAGTTTCCTGAGGCCCTCTCATAAGTTGAGCAGATGCCAGAATTGTACTTTCATATAGCCTGCAGAACCGTGAGCCAATTTAAACCTTCTGTCTTTATAAATTATCCAGTCTTAGGTATTTCTTCGTAACAGCTGAGAATGAATAATTCAGAAAATTGGTACTAGGAGTTGGGTACTGCAATAAAGGGAGCTAAAAATGTGAACATGTCTTTGGAACTGGGTAACAGGTAGAGGTTGGAATAGTTTGGAGAGTTTAGAAGACAAGAAAATGAGGGAAAACTTGGAACTTCCTAGAAGTTTGTTAAATTGTTGGGACCAAAATGCTGACAGTGATATGGACAGTAGAGTCCAGGCTGATGAGGTCTCAGATGGAGATGAGGAACTTACTGGGACCTAACTGGGACGTAGAGGAAAGGTCACTTTTATTATGCATTGGCAAATAACTTGGAGGCATTATGCCCCCTCCCTAGGGATCTGTGGAACTTTGAACATGAGAGTGATGATTAAGGGTATCTGATAGAAGAAGTTTCTAAGCAGCATAGCCTTCAATATTTGGCCTGGCTGTTTGTCATAGCCTATGCACATATCTGTGAGCAAAGAAATGATCTGAAACTGGAACTGATGTTTAAAGGGGAAATTTAATATCCAGGACAATTCCTAATGGAGTTGCAGGAGCAGGACCTCCACCAGGACTACTAAATGGTAGAGTCACTGGTAATGTGCAAGCTGAGTTTGGAAAAGCCATAGGCATTCAATTTTCACCCATGAGAGCAGCTATTTGGGTTAGGTTCAGCACAGCCAAGGATGTGGGGCTGCAAATGGCATTGTGAGCCCACCACTTGCACCAGTGTGCTCAGGAGTCAAGATATAGAGTCAAAGGAGAATATTTTAGAGTTTTAAGTTTTAACATCTTCCATTATGAGTTTCAGCCTTGTGAGGACACTGCATTCATTTCTTTTGGCCCATTTATTCCTTCCACTCTTGTATTAATATTTTAGAAGTAAATAACATTTTTAAAACTGTACAGGCTCACAGCTATAGAGATTTACCTTGAGTCTCAGATGAGACTTTGGAATTTTGAGTTGATGCTGGAACAACCAAGCACATTTGGGACAACTGGAAAATTATTGTATTTTGCAACGGGAGAAAAACATGAGCTCTGACTGGCTAGGGATAGGATGTAATGATATAAATATTTACCCTCTGATACCTCATGTTAAAATCTGACCCCCAATGTTGGACATGGTGCTGTTTGGGTCATGGGGGCCAATCTTTTTTGAATAAAGAGCTACTGTCCTCTCTTGTGAGTGAATAAATTGTTACTTTTAGTTTCCAAGAGAGCTAGTTGTTAAAAAGAGACTGGCAACTTCTCACACTCTCCGTTCCTCTCTTACATGTGATCTCTGCACATACCAGCTCCCCCTTGCCTTCTCCCCCTCCTTACCCACCTCAGGGTGAGGGGCTGTGGCAGCGCCTCGTGCTGCACATGGCATGTGTATCTCTGCTCCTCTCCAGAAGACACCACCACAGCTGCCCACTTCTGGAAGTTTCTGTACCCTGCAGGTCTGGTCTCCATAAACTGCATCCTACATTTGGTCCTCCCCATCCTGCTACTGGGTCAGTGTGATCTCCACAGGGCAGAAGTGGGAGCAGTCTGAGGCCCTCGCCAAATACTCAAACATTTCCAGAAGTCAAAATTCCAAGCCACATGAAACTTGTTTATATAAATTAGTCACTGTCAGACATTTTTTACAGCAATACAAAATGGAATAAGATAGCACTCTCATCACAGGTATGTGTCTCTGGCAGCCAGCCCCCATTCTCAAGATATCCAGGGTCCACTCAGCCATGAGTCCTCTCATCAATATTCTAATTCCTATCACTCAAGAGATTCTAAGGTTTTTAGGAGAAACCACGGACAAAGACTAAATGTTTTTCTTATAACTCAGATTACCCACTTTTCTTTGACCACATATCTTTTATAGGAAAAGGATTACAAAAGTAAAGAGGTATTGGCATATTAACAGAGTATCATTCAGTCATTCAAAATTAGAACAGTCTATCATCCTCTTGTATGAATATGTCTCCCAGAATGAACTCACTCATGTTTGCAGACACCACTCAACATTACGGGGTTCCAAAAACAAGAGTGGTCTCAGGGACATATGACTTCACTCTTTTAGGCGTCCAGTATTATTGACCTAAGAGACAATATCTTCTCTTGCTTACAGCACGTTCGAGGAGTTAAGCTAATATTGAATTTTACTCATTTCATAACCCTTTAATTTATTCACTTAACCCTCAGCCACTATTCCTCCTTCTGTCCCTTTATATCAATCTTTTCCAGTTTTAGAGGTGACATCAGGTTTGGCTGCTGTGCTGGCCTAGACTGCAGGCAGCAATAGTATCCTAGCATGTCTTCCCTCAGTCTACTCTTGGTCATAGAGGGTAGGTTATGTAGGTAGGGAACTAGTGTGGGCCATCTGACCACCAGGCTATATAGCTCTATTTAGTGTTAATCCTGACTTTGCCAAATGAAGAGAAGGCATAGCACAATCTTTGAGTTGCTTGGGAATTCTTACATAAAGGTGTAAAATTATAGTTATGGTTTTTGGCTTAAAGATAATTCCTGTTTCTGGTACTTTTATTTGCATCCCTATTGCTGGTACCACTGCATCACATATGAAAAAAGAAATCTGAGGTGAAGTGTAGTCAATATTCCAGCATCCTCTCCCCTTCAGAAGATTTGTATGTATAGTCATAACACCATCATCTTGATTCTTCAGGTAAAAGAGAGGGAGTTACCTAGTGGAGTCACTCTTGCAGCCCCACCCATGTTGACAGTGAGCACATTCATGGAAATATAAAAGCCAGTCCTTCATGTTTATATTGCTCAACAATTAGATTCACAGTTTTTAGATAAACAATGCTTCAATTGACTGTTTCAATTTTCTATCACAGTTTTCTTCTGAGGAGGACATGTCCCTGTGCATTGTTGGTTGTTTGAGGCTGTAAAGTGTGTTTTCTTGCATAAAGAAATGGGACTCAGCAGTCCAAATTGGTGCAATCTCTTTTTTTCTGGTTCTTTTATAGCCCTTGAAGCACTGACATCTACCCCTGATTGAGCATTGTCCAATCCAGAGTCAGTGACTTTCCTGTCAAGATCCACTGGCAGTTCCTTTGGGGTTGCTGGCACCAGTCTGGCTTGCCAGCTACGTATGATCAAAGCCTTCCAATTAGAGAATCTGTCACAGAGCCATCTGCTGCCTCTGTCTGTTTTATTGACCAACAGTCAAAACAGAGATTATGAGAAATGAGATAAATTAGCAAAATTGTGAACAAAAGAGAGATTATCACTAGTGACCCTTTAGAAATTAAAAAGCATTGAAGTCAATACTCTGAAAAACCTGAAGTCAATAAATTAGACCACTTAGATAAAATGGACAGATTCATACAAAGATAGAAATTGCCAAAACTGACTCAAAAATAACTAGAAAGCCTGAAATAAGGAAAAACAAAAAATAATAAAGTATTGCTGTTTTATCTGGCCTAAAAA